AGGGGGCCGCTTAGCAGTATATTTTTGTTTGGTTGTTAGGTTATCGTTTTCTCATTTTTGGGTCTCTTTTGATAGAATGAAAGAAAATTTTACAGAAATAATATGATTTTGATTGTTTTCATGAGGAAAATATTTGAAATTGAAATCAGGTAGCAAAATGTCATTCTTTGCGAAGCTCAAGAGTAAACAAATGACTCCCCACCCAATACCTGTCCGCCTGCCAGTCTAAATTTTCCAGGACGGTCAAGATGGTTTTTACATTTTTTATAAAATTTTTTTTCAATAATCGCAGTTGCAAAACGTAAATCTTCTATTTTTTTGTGAATAAAAATTTCCCAAATGGTAAGCAAGGTAATAAAGAGGGGCCTGTAGCCGTGACTAATAACAGAAAAAATGTTATTTTAGTGCCAGGAATGTCTGATTGTTTATTCTGGCCCTTTTTTGAAATTGGCATCTGTTAAATTTTTTTGACCATGACCACTTTATTGGGTGGTTGAAAAAAGTGAATGGGGGGTTTTTTGACTCTTTGAAGATAGAAGAAAAAAAAGTTTATTCAGGTTACCAAAAACAGTTACATAGTTTATATACATAGCAGTGTATGTATGGGAAAACCTAGGATAACCCAGAAAATCAGACAAAGTGCTATTTCCCTACCCGGCTTTGGGGGGTTCCTAATTTTTTTGGGAAAAATTTTTTTTTCTCGGGTTTTTTGTTGGCTATCTCATTTAAAAATTGGCAGGTTTGGGGGAAAAATGCTTCTTAAGTACAACAAAAATAAAAAAACGGCCCATAAATAAGGGGGTAACTTCTCGCCCTTTGCCGCCTCTTTGCAGTTATTTCGTATGGTTTATATGGTTGTTTATCATTTTTTTGGATATTTTTATAGAAAGGAAGATTTTTTACAGAAAAACATGATTTTGATGCTTTCATGACGAAAAGTACCCTTTAAATAAGCCAAAGTAGCAGAAAAATTTTATTTTGCCGAGTTCATTTAAATGTGTAGTTGGTTAATTTTTTTAATGTATTCTAACCCAACCCCTCTGTAATTTGGAAACCCCAGTAATCCAGCATTGAGTACAATTTTTTTTCCCGGGGGTATTTTGTCCGTGGGGCCAAACACACATAAAAAACCCGTCCAAAAGGAAAATTTCCCCAGTGCTCTGCGTTATGTTTGTCTCCCAACACACACAAATCCTTGACGACTTTTTTTTCCGAACACTCTGGGAGTTTCAGAGTGATACACCAATAAAGGCTTCACTTTGCAATCACCACTAGAATTACTACACAACATTAATGTCAGCCTGTCTTTCATAGGCTTATGTCCTGGGAGTGCCTTTTCCTCCTGAGTAATGTAGGTTCTGTTTGGCATTTTCTTCCAAAACAGGCCTGTTTCGTCGCAATTAAACACTTGTTCAGGTTTTAAGTTTTCAGTCTCTATGTATTCCTTAAAATCTTTCACATATTTTTCAGCTGCATTTTTGTCTGAACTGGCTGCCTCACTATTCCTTACCACACTGTGTATGCCACTACGAACCTTAAATCTCTCAAACCAGCCTTTGCTGGCCTTAAATTCATCATCAGCAGCACTATTTTGAGGCATTTTCTTAATGAGCTCATCAAGCAACTGCCTTCCCTTTTCACAAATTATAGACTGAGAAACACTATCTCCTGATAACTGTTTTTCATTTATCCATACCAATAACAGTCTCTCTACCTCTTCAATTATTTGCGGTCTCTGTTCTGAAAACATACTTGAACCTTTTGCAACAACAACTTCCTTGATTGCCTTTCTGTTCGCCAAGATAGTACTGATGGTTGAATGTGATTTGTTGTATTGCCTTTCCAACTCAGGCATATGCACTCCACTCTCATATTTTTCAATTACAGGTCTCCCTCAACATTCGCGAGGGTAGGGGATCAAGAGCCTCGCGAATGTTGAAAAACCGCGAATGTTTGGTGCCCCAATATATTGTAGGGAAATATAATACAATACTGCTTCCTGAACGTGTTGAACCATGAACAATCATAAAATACACGAAAATGTCGTAAAATATTGTACTAAATACATACATGTTATGGTTTAATAACATGTATGTTATTAAGTACCACTGCCTCAACCACTGCCTCCACCAGTGCCTCAACCACTGCCTCAACCATTGCGGTGCACTGCTCGTATTTTGGTGCAATTTCTTTCTTCAATTCTATCATGTTTCTCAATTTCTTTACCAAAGGGCTGGCACTAGCAAGTTTCTTTGGGCCCATGGTTAATTATGTGGCAGTCGCACTCAATTTACAAGCACCAAACACAATGAATTATTGTGAAATATCTGGAAGAGCGTGGAGACTAATGCTCACTCCAGCATAAACAAAGCCACATGTGTCTAATTTATCATCATAAACAAAGGCACACTGACGATGCCTCAACCACTTCCTCCACCACTGCTTCAACCCTCGTATTTTTGTACAATTTCCTTCTTCAATTCTATCATATTATTATTATTATTAATACGATAGAATTGAAGAAGGAAATAGTACAAAAATACGAGGGTTGAAGCAGTGGTGGAAGACGTGGGTGAAGCATCGTCAGTGTGGCTTTGTTCATGCTGGAGTGAGCATTAGTCTCCACACTCTTCCAAACATTTCACAATAATTCATTGTGTTTGGTGCTTGTAGATTGAGTGCGACTGGAGTAGTAGAGGCATTGGTAGAGGCATTGGTAGAGACAGTGGTTGAGGCAGTGGTAGAGGCAGCAGTAGAGGCAGCAGTTGAGGCAGTGGTTGAGGGAGTGGTTTTTAATAACATAATAATAATACATGTTATTAATAATAACATGTATTATTATTATTAATAACACATATCTTATTAAATATCACTGCCTCAACCGCTGCCTCAACCGCTGCCTCAACCGTTGCCTCAACTGCTGCCTCAACCACTGCCTCAACTGCTGCCTCAACTGCTGCCTCAACTGCTGCCTCAACCACTGCCTCAACTGCTGCCTCAACCACTGCCTCAACCACTGCCTCTACCGCTGCCTCTACCGCTGCCTCTACCGCTGCCTCAACCATTGCCTCTACCACTCCAGTCGCACTCAATCTACAAGCACCAAACACAACGAATTATTGTGAAATGTTTGGAAGTGTGGAGACTAATGCTCACTTCATCATAAACAAAGGCACACTGACTGACGATGCATCAACCACTTCTTCCATCACTGCTTCAACCCTCTTATTTTTGTACAATTTCCTTTAATTCTATCGTATTATTATTATTATTAATTAGCAGTAGCAGAAATGTTTGATTCTTTGCCGTGTTCAAGAGTAAACATATGATGTCACCGTCAAATACCTGTCCGAATAGCCATTCCAATATTCAGTCATGAATGGGTTGACATTATTTATAATGCAGTTTAATAGCAAATAATGAACAAACAAAACACTCACCACACTGAGTGGTGGGAGGGCTGGCTGCCAGTTGTTGGGGTCGGAGGGAGGGTATTAGGCACTCGCGGGTGGGGGGAAACTTAAATACGATTTGGCGGATGGGAATTTGGCAGTTGGGAATTTGGCGATTGATAATTTGCGAATGTGTGAAGCCCGCAAAAGTTGAAAATGCGAATGTTGAGGGAGATATGTATCTCTTTCTTCATTTCCATCATAATTCTCACCCTTTTTAACACCAGCTTGACACTAGAAGCTTTCTTGGGGACCATGGTGGCTTATTTAGCAGTTACAAGCACTAAAAACACTGGAATAATCCAAAATATATGGCAGGCACACGTGGAATCGACTGCAACAGCATGTAAACAATGGCACAGTGAGTCTTGGAGTGGCTGGGCCCACTCAGGCCGCGCTCCTGGCGCATGGACATGTTCCGGACGAACATCATTGGCAGAGTTTTTTGCCATTGGTAAGAGACATATTTTTATGCCAAAAAGCGCCGTTAGATGAATTTGCCGTTACTTAATGCCACTGTTAGTTGAGGGTCCACTGTATATCTTTCATTCTATCAACTGAGACAAAAAAAAAAAAACGAGGATACAACCATAAAAACCATACAAAAATATACCGCTAAGGGGTGGCTAATGGCTGAGAAGTGAACTCCGTTATTTAAGGTCCGATTTCTTTCATTTTTGGTGTACGTTAAGAAGCATCTTTCCATCATACATTTCCGAAATTTCAATAAGATAGTTCAACAAACAACTGAGATCCAATTCCCTAGATCAAGAGCAAGAGCCCCTCACCAGCATCAAGGAACCTCCCTTGAGGCCCGTTCGCATCTTGAAATTTTGCTTGCATTCGGAAGCAAAAAACTGACCGAGCGACTGCTCGTATTTTGAAAAACTCGCGCACTTGGGCACTCGTAAGTTGAGGTTCCACTGTATACCCATTCCTTATTTATTCAGACTTCCTACAATAAATACATTTACCATTCACTATAAGCTAAGGACGAAAATATTTTAAGGTAAGTAATGTGTCCTAGGTAGTAGATTGGTAGACAGCAACCACCCAAAACAGAAACACTTTCACCATCATTCAACACTTTTACTATCATTCACACATAATCACTCTCTTGATACGGCAGTTTAGATGTCAATCCAAACAGCCAATTATTATTAAAAAATAAAAAGGTACAATACCATTTTACTAATCTCTCAGCCCATTCCTGGGTTAGGCTTGTCTGGTGCTTGCTTGGTCAACCAGACTGTTGTTAATGGTGACCCACTGGCCCACATAAGCATCAAAGCCTGGTTGTTCTAGCCCATGGAACAGATACTTGGCTGGTTGACTTACCACGGCTTCAACCTTCTACTCAGAGTTCAGTACGTACTATTATAATTTAAAATTTAGTTTTTTACTCATGGTATCACTGAGTATGCCTGGAGAATAGACAACAAATAAAATGTCTTTTAAACAAACAAAAATGTGTCTACTTACATAAGTTTATAGTATTTTCTGTCCTGTAGAAGAAGACACAGTAGAAATATAACTAAATAAACTCACCAAAACTTAGAATAAAGCCTTTCTTCTCTGGACTGTAGCGCAACACACAGAAAGCATCAAAGCTGGGACCATAGGCCAGGGTGATACTCTTATAGTTGAAGGATCTAACTCGCACCATCTCGCTCAAGGTCTTGGGGTTTGCCATGTTGCTGCTGCTGCTGCTGCTGCTGCCTGCTGACTCAACACCACCTACAAAACATAATTTAATTAATCTGCAACCAACGTTGTAATTGTTTTCAATGCTCTGGCCGTCTCCCAACAAGGAAAGGTGACCTGACAGAGAGGAAAACACTTACACTGTCACTCATTCAACAACCAATGTCTTGCCATAACAGACCTGATGTCATAGTTCAGATAACTCTCAAAACCACATTTCCCACCCTTCTTTCAGAGTGCAGACACTGTACTTTCCACCTCCACGACTCAAGTCTGGCTAACTGCTTCCCCCTGAATCCCTCCATAAATGCTACCTCGCTCACACTATTACAGTACATTAAGTCATAAAACCACTTACCACCATTCACTCCTATATAACATGCTCACAAAATCCTATTAAATGTGTAAGTCAGTAGCACACAAAACCTTCTTTACATCCTCCTCCCAACATTCTTAAAACAACCCCAACCCCTCTTTTCCTCCATCCTTTTTTTCATATAATGTTTTTGGGGACCATGGCCCCACCAGCGCGCTTGCACACCATCTGTAAAACCCAACATCAGTTATATGCACTCAACCTGTTTCTTTTTTCTTAGCCATTGCATCCATCTTCCACCCTGGTAAGGTGATCAAAAAAAATAAACACATTCGTCATTATTCATCCAATAGTCATCTTGTCAGAAGTGCACAAAAAACACAATTCAATTGATTATCCAAACTGTAACATCTGCACCTCTCCCTCAGAGTGCAGGAACTGTATTTTCCACTTCCAAGACTCAAGTCTGGCTAACTGGACTATTCATAGAACTAAATGTTCCAATCACATGACTTCTGAGAGCTCAAGTCCTTCCCATGTAATACCTCCTTCACACCCGCCTTCCAACCCTTTCTGTGACCTGACCTCTTCTTCCTTCTACCCAGGAATTATACACCCTCTGGTCATCTTTTCTGCTCAATCCTCTCCAAATACCCAAACCACCTCAACAATCACTTCTCAGCCCTCTCAATAATGCCTTCCCTAACCCTACACTATGTCTTTATCTCCATGCTCTAAATTCTTTGCATAATACTCATACCATACAGTGTTCTCACACATGACATCACAACTTACAGCTTCCTCCTCTCCTCTCTCCAACATTTAAAACCTGTGCCTCACACTCACATACAATGGATGGTACCACTATACAATCTTCCCCTTTTCTGCCTCCATAGATAAACTTCTTTCTGTCTACTGAAGCCACAACACACCATCTACCCTTTCACCTTCATCCCTCAACAAGTCATCTTTCACTCAACTTTCACCTTCACCAAGTCATCCTTCACTCAACTTTCACCTTCATCAAGTCATCCTTCACTCAACTTTCACCTTCATCCTTCACTCAACTTTCACCTTCATCCTTCACTCAACTTTCACCTTCATCCTTCACTCAACTTTCACCTTCATGAAGTCATCCTTCACTCAACTTTCACCTTAAACAAGCCATCCTTCACTCAACTTTCACCTTCATCCTTCATCAAGTCATCCTTCACTCAACTTTCACCTCCATCCTTCATCAAGTCACCCTTCACTCAACTTTCATCTTCATTACATCATCCTTCACTCAACTTTCACCTTCATCCTTCACTCAACTTTCACCTTCATCCTTCATCAAGTCATCCTTCACTCAACTTTCACCTTCATCAAGTCATCCTTCACTCAACTTTCATCTTCATCAAGTCATCCTTCACTCAACTTTCACCTTCATCCTTCACTCAACTTTCACCTTCATCCTTCATCAAGTCATCCTTCACTCAACTTTCACCTTCATCAATTCATCCTTCACTCAACTAAATTTCAGCACCCATATCCAACACATAACAAAAAAAGTATCCAAAACAGTGGGGATTCCTCTCCAAGATACAATATTACGTGCCACAAACTGCCCTTCTCACACTATACCATTCACTCATTTATCCATACCTCACCTATGCTATTTGTGCTTGGGGATCAACTGCAGCAACACATCTAAAGCCAATAATAACCCAACAAAAAGCCGCAGTAAGAATAATCACTAAATCCCATCCCTGGCAACACACCCCCCCACTCTTCATAGATCTAAACTTACTCCCTGTTCAGAACATCCACACTTACTACTGTGAAATCTGTATCTACAGGACCTTAAATTCCAATATTAACCTTGACCTAAAATGCTTTCTTGATAGTTGTGACAGGACCCACAGGCATAACACCAGACACAAACATCTCTATGATATTCCCCGTGTCCGACTAAACCTTTACAAAAATTCAATGTGTGTCAAAGGGCCTAAAATCTGGAACACCCTACCTGAAAACTCTAGAACTGCAGACACATTCATCACTTTCAAAACTACCGTTAGAAAACATCTTATCTCCCTGATACACCCCGTCAACTAACTACATGTAAACCACCTGGTGGTTCACACTTACACTCACTCACCCATTGACTATAAACACAGAAATACGAATCTTAATCTTAAAATAATGAATCCTAACTGGTCATAAGCTTGCCTATGATACTCCAATATAGACACTCTGTATTGTGCCAAAGCAAAAGCATTCACACTGCTAAGCTCACAAACTATAATGTAGTCACTTAGCGTTAATACCATAATCTGTAATAATTTAAAGGTTAGAATTAATCTAAGTCTGCCCGAAATGCCTAGCCATGCTAGGTGTCCTAGTGGGCACCTCTGTAATTAGTATTTTAAAACATGTAAACCACACAATATCCAAAATCTGTAAACCCGGCATTGTAATCCTTATAGAGAATAAACTTGATTGATTGATTGAACTATCCCCTTCATCAAGCCATCCTTCACTCAACTTTCACCTTCATCAAGCCATCCTTCACTCAACTTTCACCTTCATCAAGTCATCCTTCACTCAACTTTCACCTTCATCAAGCCATCCTTCACTCAACTTTCACCTTCATCAAGCCATCCTTCACTCAACTTTCACCTTCATCAAGTCATCCTTCACTCAACTTATCCACTCACAAATATGTAAATACATACTTTTCTTCCACACTACCTCCAGTCTCACATCATAATTACCACTTTCAAAACTTTGTCATTTTTAATCATCTAACTGTTTTCTAAGTTCACTTTTAAAACTCCTTTCCTTGTAAATTATTATTATTATTATTATGAGCTATATCTCTAGCACTGTTGCTACAAATACCAAAGATGGGACAAGCTGAGCTTATCTCTACTATTGTGGCTACAAATACTTATAACACCAGGAACATAGAGCTCTCTTGCAGATACAAATACAGTGGACCCCCGGTTAACGATATTTTTTCATTCCAGAAGTATGTTCAGGTGCCAGTACTGACCGAATTTGTTCCCATAAGGAATATTGTGAAGTAGATTAGTCCATTTCAGACCCCCAAACATACACGTACAAACGCACTTACATAAATGCACTTACACAATTGGTCTCATTGGGAGGTGATCGTTAAGCGGGGGTCCACTGTATTAAAGACAATAACAAAAGCAGCTTAGCTTTGCTCTTGTAGCTACAAATACTGAAGATGGGACACCATGAACACAGGTCTGCTGCTGTAGTTATAAACTAGTTATCACTTACCAGGTATGACATTCAGTAATCAACACATGATAAACCATTATTCCTCCATCAATAATACTTTATAATTTTTTGGACACACTGGCCATGTCCCAACAAGGTAAGGTGACCCAGAAAGGTGGAAACTCAGCCACTATCAATCATTCAATCACTATCTTGCCAGAAAGATGGTAATATTACAGTTCAGATGACCCACAGAACTATAACAAACCCACCCTTCCTTTAGAGTGCTAGTACTGTACTTGCCATCAACAAGACTTAAGTCTGACTAGCCAATTTCCCTGAATCCCTTCATAAATATTACCCTTCACACACTCCACCAAATACTGAATATAGGACACTACAGGCAGGCCTTGTTTTACAGCCCTTTGCTTTACAGCATTTCACTTATGCACTAATGTCTCATAAACATGCAAGATTTCATGTACATCTTGCTACTCCTACTTACACTTAGGTCACACTACACATGCATAGACAAGCATATATATATATACACATGCCCCTCTGGGTTTTCTTCTGTTCCATTATTAGTTCTACTTTTTGTTTATTTCCTCTTATCTCCATGTTAAAGTGAAAAAGAATTCTTCCTCCATAAGCCATGCTTGTCGTAAGAGGTGACTAAAATGCAAGGGGCTAGTAACCCCTTCTCCTGTATATATTGCTAAATTTAAAAGGAAACTCTTTTGTTTATCCTTTTGGGCCATCCATTTTTTCAAAGATCTCTTCATTCATTCCAGGCACTGTATTACCCCTGTAGGTCTGGCATTTTCTCATAAATGCAGCAGTAGTAGTAATAGTAGTAATAATAGTAGTAGAAGTACTAGTAGCAGCAGCAGTTATAGTTCCAGCAGTTGTAGTAGTGTTCGTTATTATGTGCTTGGTGTTGCTTCTCTCAGTTTCTTTGCTAAGTGAAATATTTTTATTATCTATATTGTACTCTTTATTATTACAGTAATTGTTAGGCTTGTTGCCGGTCTACCACTGAAATTTAAATTATTTAGCAGTAGTAGATTTTTTATTGATCTTATTTTCAAATATGTGCATTATATTTTCTCATAACTTGTGGATTTTGTTTTCATATTAGCACAGTTTTGGTGAGGATGGTGTTCTTCCACATGAGGCTCTAATACTTGGCTACATTTTGGTTTGAATTTGGTATGTTATACCAGGGTAGTGTATTATTTGTAGTACTCTGTGGTGTATAGTTCCATGTTAGTGTATCATTTGTAGAGCTCTGTGGTGTATTGTTCCATGTTAGTGTAACATTTGTAGTACTCTGTGGTGTATTGTTCCATGTTATTGTATCATATGTGGTACTCTGTGGGGTATTGTTCCATGTTCAGTGTATCATTTGTGGTATTCTGTGGTGTATTGTTCCATGTTAAGTGTATCATTTGTGGTGGTCAGTACAAGATAAAATCTATCTTTA